ACCCTCCCACACAGTCCAAAAACATGTTGAGGTTAATTGGTGATTCTAAATTGTCCGTAGGTGTGAATGTGAGTGTGCTTGGTTGTCTGTCTCTAAGTGTAACCCTGTGATAGACTGGTGACCTGTCCAGGGTGTCTCCTGCCTTCACCCTAAGTCGGTTGGGATAGACTCCAACCCCCCATGACCCTAGTGAGGATTAAGCGGTGTATAGATAATGGATGGATGGATGCTGTCCAAAGCTTATAAACTGACATCGAAGCACACCTTTAATTACTTGAGAAGTCACCATATCATAATTTTTTTTACATTTTGTTCAGTATGAAAGTAATCCATGATGGAGGTCTGTGGATTCATGACTACTTTATTTCCTTTCAGTGGTCGTTTTTTTGCAAAAATTGGCAAAAATGGACTTAGAAGTTGATGCCCACAGCCAACTGATGGAGTCTGACACTACATGGACTGGATTTGGGGATTGGGAGGCTCAGGTGTTGTACATTTGGTGATTTTTCTTACCTGTCTCCCTACAGATGAGGTGAACATCCTGCAGGAACTTTCTCTTCAGATGTCCGACAGCCAGAACGCCTCCATGACGAAGGAAGACGGCAGGTGTCCGGTGCTACAGGTGGGACAGTATTCCACGTTGGCTCTGCCTCTGCGACAGATCTTCACCGACGGGTAAAGCTTCCTCCATACCTCCATATGTTCCCTCTGTAATAGTAGTGTTTTACTACTGTATGTAAAGATAAAGACTGTCATTATCTCTTGTCTTAACATCAGCCAGCTGGATGTTTTTATTGTCTGGCACCATAATTAGCTTCAACGTATGTAAGAGGACTGAGCAGGGTTTTTTTTTTTTTAATGGTATGAGTAGCAATTATTAGCTAAATGGTGTGCGTCTGTTTGTGTTCAGGTTTGAAGACGAGTTCAGTTTACTGGTGCAGCTGCGAAGCCCTCAGAGGGAAGAATACAGCGTGTTCACGATGCTCAGCCCCGACAGCCACATCATGATGCAGCTGCGGATCAGCGCGTTCGCCGTCATCTTCATAGGAACGCAGCAGCGACACTACGAGTGAGCAAGCCTTTTATTTCCCGTCTCAATCCCCAGATGAATGCAAATTAAGTGGAAGGTATTAATGTTCTGAGTGCTGTGAAATCTCCTTGGCAGATTGTTTTGTTAATTTTTTTATTTTTTTTATTCGTGATTAATTGAGTGAAATTACTCAGAATCTACCAGCTCCAAACAAGTGCACGCTTTCTTAATGCATTACCCATTATCCAAACAAATCCAGATGTGGAGATGATTACAGCATCCGTCTCAGGTAATAGAGAACCACTCATGCCCGCTCCTGCCTCTTGGCTCCACTCGTTTATGCAAATGTGTCTGAAACGCTCCGTGGAAGTCTATTTGTTCTCTGCCTGTGTGTGTTTTTATTTGAAGATGACTGCATTTGGCCGTCTCTTTGGTGAAATGATTTATTAGGCATCTCTTGGCAGGTTTCTCCTCCTCAGTAACCACAAAAGCTCGAAGCAATACATCATGGCAAGACAGCGAACAGAAACGGGCCAAGAGATAGACACACACAGATACTGTACTTAGCTTGTACTGCTGGCGCGTCGTGGGTTTTTATTTCAAAGCTGTGTGTCCATCAAGCTTGTTTGTCGATGGCCTCCACCTGTACAGAGGCCAGCTCGACCTGTAGAGGGTCTTCTGATGAATAATCAATATTTTAAGTCTGATTTTACACATTAAAATCTCATTGCATGTCTTGGTAAGCACTTAATATGCAAATATGGCAACAGCTGGCTTGACTGTAACTGTAGTGTGGGTATAATTTACCAACTAAAATATGCAACTTGTGGTCAAAGCTCTGCTGTTTCGTCTGCGTTATTCAGGGTCCTTCCTTATGTTCACCAGATTGGAATCTCTATAACCGGCAATACAGGAAGCTGACGGTCAGACTTGTGTAGGGCATAAGCTTGAGGCAGCTCTGTTTAGACTTGTACTTTGCATTTTTAATACAGCTGTGGGATGGCAATTTGAGGGAATAATAGGTGTGTGATGATGTTAAATACCACTTGTCAAGCGACTGCATCATGTTTTTAAAACCCGCTTTGGTAACCGTGTTGATTGGTGTTTCACGGGGGATGAAAAGTTATCGCATCAGTGATTTCTCTCATGACGCTGACAAAAGGCATCTGAGGTCAGGCAATTCAGTCATGTTTCTTCCTGCGCTGACAAAGTGCCTGGTTTTGGTCAATGTCTTCCTACATTTCTTTCTGCAGCGGAACCTTCCCTTTCACTGTTTCTGTCCTGTTCCTCGCTCATTTTGCTGAGCACATGTGGACCCTGGATGCCAGCACACTCTTGAGTCTTGTTAACAAAGCGTCCAAGAGCCTTTAAATCAGCGTGCATTATATCAGACGGACCCCTCTATTCGATTAGTCATGGAAAACGAGAACCGTGCGAGTTTTCTTTTTATATCAAGCAACAAAAAAAGTTGGAAGATGATGTATTTGAGTTAATTTGCGGGACTTCACACTGCATTTCCTGCAATGTGACTTTTATGCATTAGACCCAGACCGATACTGGGTTTAGGCCAATTTAGGGAGTTTTAAGATATCAATATATTGCCTGATATTATTTATATATATATATCTTGGAACTAGATTAAAAGGGGAAATAATGGAGTCATTTTTTATTAATTTTCCAGCTTCTCCCTGTTTTGTTGGAGGTATTTAATCTGGTTTCCAGCTTTTATCTCCTGCTTATGTTGTATCTTGTCAAGCTACATAATGAGAGATCAAAGGGTTTGGGTTTATTCCCTCCAGCTCATTACAGCAATACTCCTGGAGATACAATAGTAGCATCTCTCTCAGGGAAACTTCATCCTCTAAAACAATTCACTTTAGAGTCTCTCTGACCCACAGCCTGCACCTGTTGAGGTTTCCATGAGTTGAGCCGTGATCATACAGCAGGATGGATGTGGAATTAGTTTCCAGATGGATGGTGACGAATTAAAGGAAAGCCTTGAACCCTTGGCTCCTACAATGAGATGATCCAGGGGTTCTGTTGCAACAGTTTTACTGGCATGGGTTGGGTTGTCTTGTTCCCTCATAAGAAAGGAAATTGTCCTGACGTGAACCCTGTCGGACACCTTTGGGAGATTTTTTATTGACATCTTCGAAAGCGTTCTGCACCACCACCATCAAAACATCGAATGGGATAATGTCCTCTGGAAGAATCCTGTTCATACCTCAAGCAGAGTTGCAGAAACTTGGAGAATCTACGCCAAGGCACATTGAAACTGTTCTGAGTTTGACACTTTGTCAGTTTTTGATTAAATCTTTCACATGTCTATGCACACATGATGGAAACCACCAGATAGCAGGAAAAGCAGCTCCTCTGTTTATTTACTTGGCTGCACAGAGTTGTCTTCAATAGTCACAGCCTGTTGAGCATGACTTGAACTTATCTTCTTGTTTCTTTGATATATGTACAGAGATGCATTTCAAGGCACATGTGATCACATGCTGGCTCATGTTTCTCTGTCAGGTTTCCAGTCGGCGGTCTGGCTGATGGAAAGTGGCACCATGTGGCCGTCAGCGTGTCGGCCAGGCGGCTGGCGCTGTACGTGGACTGTTCTCTGCTGGAGAGCGTGGACTGGATTTACCACGGGATGGGCATCAGCACCGACGGGCTGCTCATGGTTGGAGGCACCAGCGAAGGCTTTGACACGCCATTTGAAGTAAGTGGAGTGCAGTTTCCCCTTTTTCTTTTGCCACTGATCAAAAAGAGAAGCATTATGATGCACAAAAGCAACCCCACCCTTGACACCATCTCCTGTAATCATCAATCTTGCACCCTGTTGCCTGTCACTCTGCAAAACATTCACAAGACGTTAAGATGCTGAATTCATTACATTTATTCTGTATAGACCCTCAAATCTCTATATTTTAGATGTCGCATTTGTGTTTCAGAATGCACATTTTTCGACCAGATGCCTCTCCAGCAGCCACATTACATTTAAAACAACTGCTCCAGGGGTAATAACCCACACATGTTAAGTCCAGTTCATTTTTAATTTCATCCGAAAACCCATGCATGACTGCAACACAAACGCACAATGGAAAGAACACACAAGAAGTTATTCCAGCCCCGTGGCTTTATTCTCTTTCATCACAGACACAAAGATGTGTAGCTCCCAATGCTTAGAAACCATGTGTTTGTTTTTACAAAGTATGCATTGAAACCCTTGCAACCTGCTCCAACCGCAACTTCAGTTACCTCCACCGGTGCTGCATAAAATTACACAGGAAACAGTGATGAATGTTTGGACAGAGGAGGATTCGGTGTCTATTACATCTTTGCGGCTAATTTTCAAACGTTTATATTTGGGTTTCAGATATTTGCATGTATCTTTAGTGTGTTCTATGTCTGTATAGTATTAAAATGTCCTGGTAGACCACTGTTTTGTGGTGTTGCCCTCCATCATCCTTTAAGTCTTCATCTCAAGGGCAAAAACTGAAACTCTTGTTCGTTTAAAGGCTGTTTTTGATGGCTCATAATGCACACAGCTTTGCTTTGTGGATATCCTGTCCCAGTTCCAACAAGCACTAATGTAGCCCGAGGATCAGAGCGAGCACTGATAAAGGCAGCATCTGGATTTGTTCTCAACATCAATTAAGATGGATTCTCCGTTTCCATACATCCCGTGGTGACAGGTTTTCACTGAGCTCCAAGGACGAAGCACTTCCATAGCCAGAGGTGGTGACAGGCTTGTGTCTGGAGGATCTTTTGTATGAAAAACAGTTAAACCATATATAACTGTACTCTGCTCTTATCTGTAACCTACTGTCATCCACTGTCGCAGGAAGTAACAGATTCTGATTGATTGAAAGAACAAAAAAGGCTCTACTCTTCAAATTTGGCTTAAAAAAAATTCAGGCAAACATGAAGTTAACAGGCTTAAATAATCCTGTTAATTCTCATTCAGTTAATTTGGATTGATTTGTTGATCCTGAATGAAGGTATCTTTAAAAAGTGGAACCATGATCAATGTTAAAATTAATTACTTGATGGAACCTCCCTGCAGTAAACGTGAAAATAGTTCCGCTGGTTAAATGTGTGATTGTGTTCACCTGTAATGAAACTGATTGTACTTCCTTCTTTGCAATAGTTATGTCCATGCTACATCTTTTTAGGCAGTGCTGCACAGTGAGGATCCATCCGTTGCATCTGCGTTTGGTTGTAAGACAACTCTGTTGCACATATCAATGGCCAGTTGGATTAATAGAACTCATATTACTACATGAAAATGTACATCAGATGTATGTGTTTAGCAGGCATGTGCTGTTTGATCTCATGTCTATTTCGAGGTATTTTAACTTTGGTTCTTCTCCAGGGGACATGAAACATCTTTGTATATGCAGCTCTGCATCAAATAAAAAAGTAACACTTCTCAGATGGAGTTCCGTCGCAGTCGTTATGTACAAGTCTCCTTCTTTACACTGGATCTGGAGGAATGATTTCAAACAGCTGAGATCAAAAAGCTCGTGGACAATGGCTTTCTTTTTTCCATAGTGGGGCTGCATGCTTGGATTTGGCTAAACAACGAGAAATTTACATTTTATTATTACAGGTACAGTCAATTTACATTCATGTGTGGTTTCACTTAAGTCAGGCTCATGTGACAAGAGCTTTGGGTCATTCGATCGCCTTTTCACCCCGATCAAGAATCAGCAAAGAAATCCAGTCTGGGATGTTGGTCTGGAATGATGTTGGGCACATATTTTTTGGTAACGTGAGGAGTTTATAGATCCAACATGAAACCTGAAAACTTCTTGCAGACTCACGTAGGAGTGAAAATCTGGATGGTTACGATTATCAAGCTAGCGCCTGGAGCAGCAAACGTCGTCGCCAAACAGCGTTAAACATTCTTGCTCTTGAGGCTAACGTTAGCCACAGATGATAAAACTGATATTGAAAATTTCACCCTCAGTTTATGCTGAATAATAGAAAATCTTGAAAACCTTTTTCTCATCCAGACTTGTTCTGCTTTTGTTTTTTGTCACTGCCATCTGTTGTTAGTGTTACAGCAAGTTGGTGCACCACAGTTTCCATTTTGTTTACATCTGTTTCCCCATGAAGTCACAAGGTGGTGCTCTGCTCCTCCTGCCACAATAATAATAATAACAAGTGTGTGATGCTGTTGTTTTCAAGTCTTGTAACCAAATTTCTAAATCTGTAAGCACTTTACATCTCCTGTACTATGAACCCGACTGTAGTGTGTACACTGACATTAAACCCACAGTTGAAGCAAATACCATCAATTACCTCCTTACAAAGACACCTTTTATGGGTGAGATATGTTAGGCAGCAATTAAACAGTCATCTCTTGAAGCCAGTGCGTTGAAATCTGGAAAAATAAGCAGCATAAAGATCTAAGAGACTTTGACAATGGCCAAAATGTGACATCTGGGTCAGAACATCAGGTCTTGTGGGGTATTTTCGGTGGGCAGTGGTTAGTACCTACTAGAAGTGGTCCAAGCAAGGAGAACAAGTAACAGGGTCATGGGTACCCAAGACCTAATGAATCCACTGATGATATCTTGGTCCCTGATACCACAGAACACCTTCAGAGGTCTGTGGAGTCTTTGCCTCGATGGTTCACTGCTGTTTAGGCATCTTTAGGAGGCCTATGTATGGAAGGTTGGTTTTAATGTTGTTGCTATTTTGTAAATGTCATAAACTCATGTTTATCTACCTTTTAAACGAAGAAAATCTTTAACATCTGCACATATTCTTATAAACAGTCTTCTGATGTTTGTCTTGTTTGGCTTGATGTCCCAGAGTGAGCGGTAAAGTAAAGGGTCTCTGCAGTGAAATGTACGGCTTCCAATCACCCGTTTCAGATGTTATCAGCTTTTTAAGTGGCTGTTATCGCTGCAGATCATTCCCATACATATGAGCCAGCAGGGACCTCCACCTTCTAGTGGACTCAGTAGGCTGTTATCACCACATTTAATGGAGCTATGTTATCACCTCATATAATGATGGTGGAGCTGCAATTTTTTTTTGCTTACAAAGAGCAGCAAGCGTCTACGTTTGAAGGGTGGAGGGGCTGGTGGACGCATAAGTCAGCTGAGTTTTAGATCCATTTAGGACCATTATTACAGTGAAATATTTTCACTTAAGTCTTGTTTCGACTTCAGTTTTCAGTCGATGTTTGGTTATGTCGAGTTAACATTTAGAAAAGGGTCATGGTTTGGATTAAGAAACATCTTGTCGACATGGTTACCAAATCTTACAGAGCTCAACTTTATATATTCCTATGGTGATGACACCACTGGAGATTTTACATAAGATAATCCTTTATTAATCCAACAGCAGAGAAATGTGCAGTTTAAAGGTTATGAGCACTTCTTCACAAGACTACAAGAGGTTCCAGACAATATTGTGTCTGTTTCTCAGTGATCACAATGAATGACGATGGGTGTCTTTGGTCTCCTTGAAGATGGAGGAGGTCCTGACTGGCCCACATGTTTGGAAATGATCCGTGATGAGTCATTAAATGAGTGCCACTGTAAACTCCCTTTGTGTGAGTATGTGGCAAAGCTTGTCCTGTCAATCTGTGTATATTTATGTGCATGCACAAGAAGATTTAACTGTGAGATCCAGATGTACCTGACATCATTCGTCTGTGCATCTTGGTTGAGTTTTGGCTTATTTTGATTAAGTATGTTTCCATTTTTTCCCCCCATTTATACTGTGATGTGGTTACCAATGATCCATCTTGGATTACTGACTGGTAGCTTTGAGGCAAAAACAACAAAGCAAGCAAAGTGTTTCCTGTGGATGTGTGTCAGAGATAATTGTTTAAATATTAGCTTAAAGAAAGCACACATTTGGTTTGAAAGATTCCAGTATTTATGTTTTGATTAGCCAGAAATATCTGGTGTAGTTGAAAAGTGACAGCTTCAGTAACAATCAGATAACGTAAAGCAGGTTAAAGCTACATGTTGAAATGTAGTCACTGAAACACTGTTGGAGCAATAATCTAATGAGACATAAATGCCTAAACAAACATATTTAACCATAAATATTTTGCTTATCTGGATGATGCATTAAATTAACCACAAACATGTGCTGGGTTAGCACTCGGGCTAACATTTCACTGAACAATTATCATAGCTTGAAGTTTCCACAATAATGATAATTACTGGAATATATGTAGAAAAGAACACAGATAGTAGCATGTGCAAATTTTAGCTTTGTTTGTGGTGCGTTTTGTCTCTTTTCTGGTAATAATTTTCACTAAAACATGAGTATAGAGAAATAGGGACAGTCTGTAACTGTACTGTATGTTGTTCCTGATTACCAGCTTATCATGTGTGTATTTCAACTTGATATCAATATTTAATTTTTTGAATATCTCAGTCACAACACTTTTGGTCCTCTTAGTAAAGATCTTTTGCAAAACTTGTCACCAAATATCCCTTAAATTGAATTATTAGTAAATTAAGCACATGTAAAGTAGACACAAAAGCTCAGGATGTGAAAACTCAGATATATTAAGCTGCACGTCCCATTTTCACTGTTGTGAAAAAATGTGTATACACTGCTTACATCCTACATTTCAAATCCTGTGCATTGTTCATGGTGCTTATAGTGTTTGTCCTGCTCATCCTGTATGTGTACTGCATATAGTATTAATGCTGTTTACACTGTTTACACTGTTTATCACTATTTATTTCCACCTGTACATTTAGATTGTCCGTTTTATATTGTATCCATATCTGTATGTCATTATATCGGTGTGTTTATAGCACTTTGTTTATACTGTAACGTGCTGTATAGGCCATACTAATGCACTTTACTGCTGCTTTTGTTAGACGCTAAACTGCATTTCGTTGTCTTAGTACTTGTGTGCAATGACAAAGTTCAGTCTGATCTCTCTAGACTTGATTTACTCAGAGTAAATGCAGACACAATTGCATTGTTTATTCCGTATGTGAAGATATTGTTGTCTTTATCTGTGTTTGACCACTCACAGTGTATTTAATGTCTTTGCAGGGTCATATTCGACAGCTGTCCTTCCTGATGGCCGACCCAGATGCCGCCCAGCAGCACTGCAGCCACCACCCGCCCCGCTGCAGCGCCGCCGCCCTCAAGCCTCCACGCTTTCCACGCACCAACAGCGCCCTGGAGGTGAGGACAGACGAATGGAAGAGGAGGGGGAGGAAACAAGAGAGATCAGGAAAACTCACATCATCAAGTCTTGTTCTTTTGACTTGTGTACACAGAACGGCTCTGACATGTCACCGGGGTGGTTAAGGTGACGCCAGATGTCTTTGAAGCCTGCAAGGCAGACACTCTGACTCCTGCAGTTAATACATTGACAGCACAACCTGTTATATACTATAATATAAGCATTAAAACAGATCATCAGAGGATTTAAAACAAAAACTGTACCGACTCCTGTGGTTTCGATCCAGTCTGGTGAATTTAACAACACTCGAGTGTTTGGTTGTTCATCAGTATTGCCCCGAACTGTCTCTGATTGTGGTTTATGAATTTAGAAATTGCCGCCTGTGTTTCCACACAGAACATACTGCTGTCCTCGAATGACCTGGAGAACCTGCTGGGGGATCCCGAGGACGAGTCCTTTCTGAGCTTTGGCCGAACCGTAAGTAGGATGCTGAGAGTGTTAACTATTACCCAGTGCTTTTTAAAGCTGTGCTACAAATTCCCAGTTTATTTAGGTGTGAAAAACAAACCAGAAAAAAAAGCATGTCGTTGCCTTGTTTCGCAGCTGCGTCCCACAGCTCCAGTTGAAGTGTGTGGGCAGCTGACCAGTCGTCGGGGTAATTATATCCAGCTGTGGGCAGGCTGGCAGCTACAGTTGTGTATATACTACTGGTCTGGTTTCACTGGCTTGGTTTTTTTGTGTGTTTCTGTGTGTGAAACCACCAGTCCAGCGTCTGTCATTAATTAGTGGTGCGGTTCAGAGCCTCAGGCGTCGGAGGCCTCCTCCAGCATTCAGACCTCCTGTCCTTGGCTGACTGGTCCACTTCACATGTACGAGTCCTGTGACCTGTCTGCCTTCTGGCTCATCGTTCTGTCTGCTCTTTGTTGTGGCCCGCAAAAGGGTTCATGAAGATGCTGAATCTAAAAGTCTCCTCCAGTAAATTATAGGACAATCTTTGGCTAAAACCAATCTGGAAATGGATTGGTGGTCTACTTTAGTATTTTCTACTTTTAGTATTAGAAAAATATGGAAAAATCTAAAATTAAAGTGACAAGTACAGAATAACTTTTGTGGTACACCCGCAGAAATTATGCTTTCTAAATCCTATATTCATACTGTGTACATTCAGTGCTCACAAAAGTATCCACCCTTCCCAGAAGTTTTCCCGCTTTTATTGCTTAATCTTGGCTTTTTTTGACAAGAATTCACAAAAACAAATGACTCATGTCGAAGGAGAAACAGATTTCTACAAAATAATGTTAATGAATTAAAAACAAACTATTAAATAAGTGTTGGCATAAGTATTCACCCCTGTCAAGTCAGCATTTAGTAGATGCACCTTTGACCAAATCACTGCATCTGTGGGTAGGCTGGATCAGCATTGCACATCCAAACACTGAAATTTTACCTTCTTGTTCTTTGCAAAGCTGCTCACGCTCTGTCAAGTCGCACAGGGATCGTGAGTTTTCAAGTCCAAACACAAATTCTCAGTTGAGTTGAGGTCTGGATACTGACTTGGCCACTCCAGAACATTCACTTTGTTGCCTTTAAACCATTTCTGTGAAGCTTTGGCTGTTTGCTTCAGCTCATAGTCTTGATACAAAACAAATTCTCTTGCAGACTGCATCTGGTTGTTCTCCAGGATTTCTCTAGACTTTGCTGCATTCATTTTACTGTTCTACCTTTACAAGCCTTCCAGGGCCTGCTGTTTAGAAGCATCCCCAACATGATGATGCTGCCACCACCGTGCTTCACTGTGGGGATGGTGTGTTTGTGATGATGAGCATTGTTTGGTAACTAATCTGATGGTCAAAATGCTCAAGTTTGGCCCAATCAGAGCAAACATACTTTTTTCTAGTTGTCTTCTGAGTCTCCCACATGCCTTGTGGTCAACTGTAGTCTAGATTTAGTAGTTTTTTTTGCAGCAGTGGCTTTTCTCTTTGTCACTCTCCCATAAAGTTTTGACTGGTGAAGAACAAGAGGTTGTATGAACAGTCTCTCCGATCTGAACCGTTAAAGCTTGTAACTCCTTCAGAGAAGTCATAATTGCATTAAAAAGGGGGAAACTTCCATTGGGGCTAATGTGTTTTAAATGGCACTGTATATCAGAGGCTTGTCTGGATTAAAATCAGGTTCATCTTGAAAAGTCAGGGTTTTATTTGGTGATCATCAGAATCAAACTAAACGTTCTGGGCAGGAACACATGACAAATGGGCTTAGTGGAGCCCCTATTCCTCTGAGAGGGCAAAATTCATATGAACTGTGACTTATCGTTGAGGAAAAAAGTCTCCATGGTGACCAATAAAGATTTTTTTTTTATTATTATTGTAAAGAAATGTTAATTGCAGTCCTTTTATTTTACATCAGTCAGGAAACGCGGTTCAAATGCAGCCCCTACATTAGTCTAATGACGCGGAGCTGGTTCAGGCAGCCAACTGCAGTCTGCTGGACTCTCATAGCACTACTTAGTACATCATAAAGACCGGTCCTCCTATACACTGTACATTCCACAAGCTTTACCTTTATTTTCCAACCCTTTCCAACATGCATTTCTTACTAATGGGGCATAACAATGGCCTCATGTCAGTGTGGGTTTCTGGTCGTCTTTTGCACATCTTGAGTCCAACCCAGAGCCAACACACCATTTGTACTACGATGGTGTATTTAAATACTCATTTCCATTGTGCCTGCTACACACTGTTACTCTGCTGCTGCCAGCATCATAAAATGATCATCTCCTTCCAAGGATCCACCTCTAGGCTCAGATTTACAAGGTCACAGACTAGAAATGAATGCTGCACATTCTGATTTTTGACTAGACCTGCCTCGAGTGTTACTTAATCGCCTGATTGCACTTACTTAATCATTTTCCATAGTAATTAGAATTGTGTCCGTTCACCTGGTATACAAACAGAAATGTCACTACTTCCACATGGTTTTCTACTGATTCTGCTGTGGTTTAATGGCACCAACTGTTCATCTCGAGGCGCTGGACTTATGATATTTGACAGAATTAAGGTGATGGATTTAGTTGCCAAACACCACATTGCTGCTGTGAGCACATTTCCATTTAAGCCAAGCAAAAAACGACATCCCAATAACCTGGTGGAGGTTTTCTTAGATGTGCAGCAAAATGGTTTAAGTCAAATGCACTGATGCTTCTAATGTAAAACTAATAGAGACAATTACATCATTCATTGCACTTATTTAAATGCCAAATGTCTGAAAACTTCATGATCATGACAGCCTCATTTCTGGTTTAACTTGTATGTTTCTGCCATTAATGTTCGGCTAAAATTGAACTTAAACTTCCCAAAACTCTGCAACCTTTTGGCAAAAATTACATCTTCATCAGTGACTAACACCACTGAAGATGTGACATACTTTGGACTGAGCCCAGTTTGAACAACAAACTGACAGATTGACTGTCTTCTGACTCTTAGTTTGAGGGGAAACACCCGATGATTTTCCTGAACCGTCAACAATTAGCTGTTGGATAATCAGACAGATTTTTGGACGGCTGTCAGAAAGGATCGTAATGTCCACATTCTTCAGTTCTCATCTTGCGTTCTCTTCCAAGCAGAATGTTAAACTGCTGTAACACGGCTTTGCTCTTCGTTGTCAACATTTTTGAGAACATAGTCATCTTGTTTTAATGAAACTTTATTGGAATTGTCAACAGACAAACCAGACCGAGGGTTCAGTGTTCATGTTGATGGCCGTTGTTAGGCGTCAAAGTTGTAGTTTTGTTTTTTTTATTAAATGTGGAAAAAAGTGGTGTTAACATAACACACAACTTTAATTAAGTTGAAACGAGACTTACAAGTCATAACATTTTTTTTTTAACGTTTCCACATTTCTCCTAGTCTGAGCTGCTTTTGCATTTGCTTCCACTTTAGATTCCACGTTGTTAATATCAAGTTGATGTTAATCTGATCAGTGCGTCCACATTGAGCCACATCATATCATCTATACATATGATTTTATTATGACTGACGTTTAGTCTCACAGACCAAACAATATATGCTTCTTGAAATGCATATAGAAAGTAAACATTTCTGAGATCCTTGCATGTCTGAAATGGAAAAAACCATAAAGGATTTACAGTTCGAAAACAAAGGAGAAGCAAAGCTGGTTTGAATTTACATTTTTGTGTCTATAGAAAAACGTCTAAAATAATCAGTGAGGATCTGTTTCTCTTCAGTAGTGTTCAGCTAGAGGAGCTACTACAATCCTGAATATGAAAAAAAAAGAAAAGAAAAAAGAAAAGCATGCCGTGCCATGCCAGCTCCACCGCGCACACACTTTCTCCATCAGGATGGCGTTGGGATGCCTTTGTGATGATGCAGATGACAGAGTCTGCTGTTTTGTGCTGTAGATTGTTTGCAGGAACAAGCTGCAACAGATCGGTCCTAATAGTGAAATCTCCTTCAGCCGACTGCACCTTCTTCTGATTATGTATCTCTGTTCATCTGCTTGTGTTTATCTCTTTGTTTTTTTTCTTCTTCTATTGTGTCTGAATCCGTCTCCTCTGGCTGTATACGTCTCGCTGTTTGTCTGTGTTTTCAGGTCGCTGTGTTCTTCTCTCTGTTAGTTTTAAACTCTCTTTGCTCATTGGTGGTGTTGAAGGTTGATTGGTATACTCGTGCTCAATGTGTAGGTTCCATCATTTTATTATAGTGTTCAAACCCTAGTGTACAGTTTATTTGATTTTAAAATAAACTGGCTGTTTTATAGAATCATTGTAAATGGGGTATCTACTTGGTTTCGGCTGTTCTGGTTAGAGAAAACAAGCAATTTACAGACTTTCCCCTGGTTATGTTGCTGATCCAGGTTGTTTTTTTCCTATCTAGATCCTTGCTTGTGTTGTATCTACTCTCAGATGTACATCACTTGGGCTAAAAGCGTCTGTGAAATGAAACTGGCCCACTGTTCAGTCCACTACGTTGAATTCTCAGCTGTGAATTTCGTCCACTGTTTGATGCAATACAAAAATGTGACAGAAAACACCAGATTGTCGTGTACAGAGGCTGCACCCTGCATCAGTTGGCTTAAGACTTGATTATACTCCCTTGCGAGTGGAAAGCTGGGGACGCCACAGATGTGTAGTTGTTGCTGTTCGGCCACTTCTTTAGTCCGTGGAAGTCTGCAGTAGGTCCTCTCTACATATTCTGCTCATGCTAACTGCTGCTGAGCATACGTAGTATTGGTCTTGTAGTACATTCACTGCATGGACACAAATTAGAGGTCTGGATTCTCACAGACTTGGGGTATTCTTGGGGTAGATGATGTAATTATGCCACCCCTTCGTACTGAAACCAAAACACTGGCCTAAGAATACATATCCATGGGGGCGTTTCTGGATAATTGATTCACTGCAACGTGGAGTTCTTGCATCTCTCTTCAGGCAGCACAGCCATGGCAGGAAGTGGAGAGAA